ACACACCCACATCTGTACTATGTATGTATGTATGTATGTATGGAGAACCCATAAATACGATGTGGTATCAAAAAGTTCTGAACTGGTCCGATTACATAAAAAGTAATTACTTTATTTATATTTGGCTAGCATCACCTTCAAAGTACTCACAGTGCATCTGCCATTTTTGTAAAACACTTTGGAAGTCTTTTTCTTCAAGGGTATGAAGAGAACTTTTTGCAATTTGTGTCACAATCTCCTCCACAGTTTCTAACCAGTGACTTTTCAGCTTCATTTTCATCTTTAGAAACAGGAAAAAATCACAGGGAGCCAAATCAGGTGAGTAGGGTGGATGAAGGGTTGTGATGTTGTGGGCTAAAAACTGACATGTTAGCAACACACTGTGAGTGGGTGCATTGTTATAATGGAGGACCCAGTTGCATTGGCTCAAGAGTTGAGGTCTCTTTCACTGAATGTTCTCCTTCAGTCACCTCAGAATATTGCAGTAGAACTTGATGATCCTGCCCTCGGGGACAAATTCATGGGGCACAACCTCACAAATGTTGAAAAAAATGATCATGATGTTCTTGGTTGTGCTCCTGACCTGCTTTGCCTTCTTTGGTTGTGGAGACGTTGGGCTCTTCCTTCAAAGACTGTTGTTAAGTCTGGGAATCAGACATGGTTTCATAACCATAGACCCATATCTTGTCCCCAGTAATGATTGTTGACAAGAGGTTTAGGTCTTCCATGACCTGCTGACAAAGATTTTCACACACTTCAACATGGTGTGCCTTCTGTTACTATGTCAGCAGCCTGGGCACAAACTTTCCAGAGATGTGGTGCATGTTTAACTGTGTCATCAGGATTGCCTGGATTGTCTCATATGACACATTAACAATGACAGCAATGTCCACAATGGTTCTCCAATGATCCTCATACACAAGTTGCCTAATTTTTCAATGTTTTTGGGGGTTGTACTAGTGGATGGTTGACCTGACCTTGATGGTTCTAGTGGATGGTCTTTCAGCAATGTTCTGCCATCCTTGAAACATGTATGCCACTTGAAACACCTCGGTTTACTTGTTGTAGCATCATCTATAGACTTGCTGAATCATTTTGAAGGCCTCCTTTCTAGTTTTGCTGAGTTTAACACAGAATTTCATGTTGGCTCTCTGTTTGATTTTGGCGTCCATACTGAAATTGAAGATAAGCCCATGCACATGGTTACTCAATTCAACATAGCACAAAACTTGTTCACAGAATGATGTCACTCAACATACTAATTTCCACCGGTCAGTATTCCCTACAGCTGCCAATGCATCCCCATACTGCCTGCCCTCTGTTATTGTGCTACAGGACCAGTCATGAAATTTTTTGATACTACCTTGTACAGTACATAGTGCTGATGTGGGTGGACGGGTATGCAAATAATCATTGTTATCCTAGCATTTTATGATCATAATGATTATATATCAATGATTTATTTTTGTTTCTGAAGTGTGTATAGTGAACCATACTATTCATGTCAGTTTTGTACATTATACATGTAATTAATTAATAATGTAATGTTCAGTATGCTGTGCTGTATGTTATTCCTTGCTTCCTTGTACAATTAAAGGGATTGATCAAGAATATGCATAATTTTGAGAGTGGGTTTGTGTGACTTTGTGCTCTCTGAGTAGTAAAGGGCCTAAAACCACAAATAAAGAAAAAAAAGTGTTATAGGATGAAATTGTAGTTGAAAAGTATAAAAATAACATTGTATAAATTACAAGTGATCCCATTCATGCATCCAATATTTTGATGTCTTGTTTTAATCCATTTACTACAAGCTTCTACTGTAAGTCAAACAAGTATTGGTATATGTATAATGTTTGACCATGTATTGTACTGTACTGTACTGTACTGTACATGTTCAAAACTACAGTCATTGCAAGATATTACCATTACCAAAAGTAATATCTAGTAGTTTTATGTAGGCTGTTTTTTTCAACCTCCGATGGTCCATAAAAAACAAAGACAAGTGTAAATAACAAAATGAATTTATTACCATAAGTTAGGTACAAACTTGGTTACTTTCAACATAATCACCATGAAGATTGAGGCATTTGTCATATCTGTGGACAAGCCTTTTCATCCCCTCTTCATGGAATGTTGTTGCCAATGACTTGAGATGAGCCCTAATGTTGTTTTGAAGATCATCATTAGTCTCAAACCTCTGCTCTCCTAGCCACTTTTTGTATTCAGAAAAGAGGTGGAAGTCACTCAGCACCAAATCAGTGCTATATGCTGGGTGTTTAAAGGTGGTGAAAACTTCTACCCAGCTTGGAACTTTTTAATGTGTGAAGACTTCCACCTCTGTCTTGAACAAAAAAGTGGCTAGGAGGTAGAGGTTTGAGACTAATAACGATCTTCAAAACAATGTTAGGGCCCATCTCAAGTCATTGGTGGCAACATTCTATGAAGAGAAGATGGAAAAGGTCATCCACAGATATGACAAATGCCTCAATCTTCATGGTGAGTATATCGAAAAGTAACCGTGTTTGTACCTAACTTTTGGTAATAAATTCATTTTGTTATTTACACTTGTCTTTGTTTTATGAAACATTGGAGTTTGAAAAAACCACTGTCATATTTATACTTGCAGTCAAAAATAAATCAATTAAAACAATTACTGTAGTAAAGTTCTGTCTTTATAAATGAACATTAATTGTCAGTTTGAAAAAACAAATGGAATTTTTTTAGCAGCATATATTTGATAAAATTTAAATTGCAGTTTTATAATATCACATTTGATAAAACTATAAAACATTTTAAGAAACATTTCTTTTGATAATAGGACACATTTACTGATAAATTATTTAATGTTTCTGTTTATTAGACATTCAAGCATTGACTTAAAGAATATTATAACAGATCAACTTCAGTTTGACTATTATAAGACTGACATTTCCATACAGAATTTATTTAGTAATTGTAAGTTTTTTTGCTGAGAGTAACAAATGATTTTAAAATTTGTGTTCATCACAGTGAAAGTAACTCAAATATAATAAAAAATTATTTATTTCTTTTTGAACAAATTTTGAGCTCAAAGTAATTTATTAATAATTTATAACAACTTAAAATTTGAACATAACACTTTTTGATGAGACTACGTCTCGTCTTTAAGATTGTGCTGCTATCCACAGCTGCACACCTTAGAGGTATGAAGGAGTACATGTCAGGAGTTGTAATTTAGCACAGAGTATTTGGTGCCCAAATCATGCACACACAAAATAAATCAGACTTGTAGATAGTCAGGGGACCAAGAACTAGATCAAAAGAAAATACAAAATGCTGAGTGTATTTCTGCAAACAGGTGAGAGTATGAGATTTATGCGTGTGTTGCTCACGCTCTCGGACATAGTCTTGTCCCAAAAATGGCTTTGCCATTTTACTTGTTATTCCTATTATATCTTATATAGCAATCTGGTTTTTTAATTTTAAGAGCAAGTTACTATAAAGTAATTTAATTTTTAATATTACTTTCTTGACTTGCTTCAATCCATTTTCCTTTCAGAATATTTAAAGAATCAAAAATTGATTCTGTTTGTAAGAAAATTTGTTCTAGTATTATAAAGCATTTGTTTAAATGGAAATAAAATACTACAGTGGGTGATGGATTAACGAACATATTCCGTTCCAAGACTTTGTTCGCTATCCGATTATCAATTTACCATAGGTTTGTATGGGAATTTGATTAATTCGTTCTGGAGACTCCAAAATATAAAAAATATATACTTTCTTAGTACATTCATTTAAATGTAATAATAAAAATACATATATACACAGTCTTGCATTTTTATTAGTTATGTTTTTTTGTTTGTGGGGGTTAAAGAATATGTCTAATGTTGATTGTTTTTCTCTCTTTTTCAGGATTTTCAGAAGTAATTAATAGCATTGTAATTGTAGAGATCCCCAAGCCTATTAACCTCAACATGGTTTGAATGCCATTCTAAGACCGTTCTGACATCTTCCCACTTCAAAACATCTTTAATAGCAGATATCGGCATTAATCCTCTTTTTCTTAATAAAACATATCTCACCGAGTTTCTTGGTATTCTTCATTCAAGAGTTCTTGGTGTTCTTCTGTCGTCAGATATGTGTCAGGTTCCGTTATGACCTCCAATGTTCTTTTTTCTCAGAAGTGATTTTTGTTACTCGTTTAGCTGCTTGAGTCTTCTTGATTATACTGCACCATACTGTAGATTTGTTCAAGCCATACTGCCCAGCAACATTAGATATTTTCTGCCCACTCTCTAACTTTGCTATTTTACCTCTTGAAAATAAAACTCGACACAAAACTTAACGAGTGTCTGCCCGACAGTCTTGCGAATACTATAAAAAAATTGTTTCTGTCAAAAAATAAAAGGCTGGAATTACACAGGAGAGTTTCAAAGTTCGGAGGAATACTATCCGATCAGTATATACCAGGTTGAGCATCGATGTCGATGTCTCCAGCGCTCCGAAAAGTTTTGAATTGTTGCCTGAAGACAAGGGAAAATCAATCGGTATTTGCTATTTTCGTCACTTCATTTTATGTTTGTTAAATCAGGGATGCACAACCTTTTCTGAAGAAGGGCCAAATTAGGATTAAGTTTACTGACTGGGGGCCAGACCTCCAAGTGATTAATGCGATGGCTGAGATTGGATGCTGGCAGCAATCTTCTTGATGTCTAGCGTAATGGCAGATGTTGAAACAACCAGCAGATTTTCCAAATTCTTGTTGGTTAACCTGTTCCGTGTTTTGTACTTGTTTAAATTCATAAGTGAAAACGCTTGTTTGCATACATACCATGTTTCCCCGAAAATAAGACCTAGCAGAGGTTTTGCTGAATTGCTAAATATAAGGCCTCCCCCCAAAAGTAAGACCTAGTAAAGTTTTTTTTTTTTNATAATATTGTATATAAAATAATCATCAAATAAAAATATTATTATCATTTATTTTTTTAAGAATAAAAATATCATTATTGATTAGTACGAGATTTCCACTCTGTATACTAAGTTTAGACTTTTGACATGTGTAATATTTAGTGTATGTAACATCTATACATACACTAAATATTACACATGTCAAAAGTCTATTGTTTGGATGTCTCACACCTCAGAATTGAAAATTTATTTGATGGGAAAAAAAGCATAAAAATATTTTATGCTATTTCTGATGAATTATTCAATAACCAAAGGCTGAGAATTTCATTTTGATTTGTAATGACTTCATAAAATATTCATAGAATGCATTTGTCTTTAAGTATCACAACCTTCAGGCACTTTTTTCCCTTGTTTCTTTGCTTCTTCTATCGCATTATAGAAATTAGAAAAGTCTACATAAGGATTTATCCTTCCTCTTTCATTTAAAGGTAACGAGTGACTTCGAAGAGACTGAAATAACATCTGTCCCTCTTCTTGCTCTGACTGATTACTCATGAGTGGTTCTGTGTTAGAAGCAGTGTTTAGTTCACTATATATTTCAGGTTCAGGATCAGGCCTGCTGGTAATAATATTTCCACCCATTCGTTTAATTGTTTTTAATTCATCTACACTACTTGTCATTGAACTTGAAGTTTGAGAAGGTGTTGCAGAACTTGGTAAAGGTTGATTAAAGTTCCTAACCTGTAATATTATATATATAAATACATTTTAGTAAATTTACTGTTATATTTTAGAAACAGAAATAATAGTGAACAAAATCTACTCACTATAAGTGTTATGTCATCTCGTTTTTGGCATACTGTTAATGATTCGGGACTATTTAAATACATGTCATGATGAATTCTTACAATTTTATCCACCACAGCTTGAGCAACTCCAGTAATTGTTGTATGCATGGAAAACTGTTCTATAACCATTTTGCATATATCAAGATTTGCCTAAAAATTATTTTAATGAAAATTTATTAACAAATTTTTATTTTTAAAGATATTAAACACATGAATATTTTATTACCTGTTTTGTACCTGTAGCTTCTTTTAAGGATTTATATAATCCACTAGACATTAGTAGTAAAAACCTACAACTATCATCTATTTGAATACCTCCACACATTTCCGGTTCAGCTATAACAGGCTCTTGGCTTGATTCTCTAAAAATATATAAGTATAATACTCAATTTTGATATTTCATTTTAAAAATCTTTCTTTTATTTTATAGTTAGGTACCGAAGTATTGAATCGAAATCTCTATATCCTCCTTTAACCATATAATTTCCAATACATCGTGTATTTTCTTGATTGCCTAATTTTCCTTGCTTGCGTATTTTCTCTACATCCATTCCGAGCTCTAATAACCGAAGTAATTCATCATCATTATCAATATCATGATCGACACTTAACTGCTGAACATGAATTAAGTTACTCTGATCTATTTTACATAGAACGGCTCTGCTATTTCCTTTTAAAAAAAATTATTTAATAAATATATAATATATTAAATTAATATATAATAGATAGATAATACTGAATATACAATACAATTATTTAAAAAAAAAATACTAACCAACATTTGCAACATAGAGCTTATTTTTGACAATTAGAGCAACAGCAGCAGTAGTTCCTCCTGAAATTTCGGAAGAAATTGTTCTAAGACAGTCAATAATTTCTGGTTGGTTCCTGTACGTTGCATACATTCCTGCTTCCTAAAAATTATATTATTTAACAGTCAAACAGACATTATTTTTCAAATTATCAAGTCAAATATTCATGACTCACACAGTCTACATCCTAAATTCTATATGTAGAAAAGTTTACAGAAACCAAAGCCATAATTGATAAATGAAAAAATTCTGATGATGCAAAAGTATTTGTACAATTTTAAAAGTAATTTTAGAATTTGAAAATATTTCTTTGTCTTATTTAATGCTATGTTCTTCTATAAATGTTTCTCTAATAATTATTGTAATAATCAAAAATGAATAAATAGATACCTGCAACTGAAATTCTAAATTAGCTTTTTCTGCCAAAAGATCATCAATTGATTCAAAAAATCCTTTCTCGACAGTTGAAAATGCTTTTCGTAATAATTCTTTTATACTTTTATCGTTCTCATTTCCTTTAAGTTGACCTAATAGGATTTCTGCTGGCATTCTTTGAGCTGCAAAATGTGCTGCTTTCTTTCCACAATGACCGTCAAACAAACCATAGAAATACACATCATCAGCTCTAGAAAATAATAAAAAATATGTCATTTAAAAACAAAAAAATTTAAGGTTATTTCAGCAAAAATAAAAATAAATTATTTTTAACCAGCATTTATTCTCAGAAATAAACTTCTGGATTCTATATAAATACATGCCATGGAAAAGTATGATATATATAAAATGTATATAGTAGAGATTATTAGAAAGAACCTACAAATTATTAGAAAGATCTATTACCATGGTATTTGATCTTTCTAATAATTTGTATATCATTACAAAAACAGTTTTTTACTAAAATTTTTTTTTCATGATTATTGAATGAATAAAACTCAAAATTTACAAATATTAAGATTGTGAATATGAATTATCATCATCATCATCAAACACAAACAGAAACTTAACTGNTTTTCAAGTCATACAGTTTATAAACTAATGGTTATTTTTATAAGTATTTGAGTATTATAATAAATACAAAGTAACATTAGTAGTGGACTATGTAATAGTTAAAGAATAAAAAATAAAATTAAAAGTTAAAAAGTACATTGGATAAAGTTAAACAACAGTAAAAATTAATTATTCTAATTCAATAAGCTTAAAAATATATATTCATATATATTTTTCATGTAAACTATCCAATGGACCTAAGTAAATTTTATAAAATCATAATCTTTATTTGATGAAAATATAAATATATTCTTAACTAAAATTAAATAAATGGCACAGAGACCATTAATTTAAAATAAAAAAAAATACAGTAATACCTTGACTTACACTACCCCGACTTAAGCGATTTTCAAATCTCGTCGATTCCTCTTTTGTTTGAGCACCACGCAACTCTTGATTACTCACCCCCCACACTATTGTTCAGCTTACATGTTCGGACGTGTCGCACGGAATCGACACATAGCTACAATTTATTTTGTGTTATTTATTTCTGTATTTATCTACAGAAACTTGAGAGACTCTACTATGTCATCCAAACAAAGTAGAACTGATTCTTCTGCATCAAACAACAAAAACATCTTTATCTTTGGAATGTAAAGTTAACATTATTAACTTCGATACAAAAATGAAAATTTGTGAATTGGCAAAGAAGTTTGATCTACCAGAATTGACGGTCAGAATAATTATAAAAGGTAAAGAAAAAATTCTCGAAGCTGCGAAAAATGTTCAATCTTTAAATTCAAGCATCATTCGTAAACGTCACAGTATTATCACCGAGATTGAAACAATGTTAAAATTGTGGTGTGATAAACAAGTAAATGTGAAAAATTGTCCTGTTGATCAGAACACGGTGTGCTCTTAAGCTAAGCTGGTTTTTGAGATATTGAAAGAGGATGTTGGAGAGGTGGCTAAAGATGAAGAGTTTAAAGCTAGTAACGGTTCGTTCAGCCAATTCAAAAGTTGCTATAATTGGCATAGCATTACAGAAAGTGGAGAGGCAGCAAGTGCTGACAAAGAGGCTGCATCTTACTATCCAGAGAAATTCAAAGCTATGATAGATGAAGGTGGCTATACCAGCCAAATCATATTCAACGTAGACGAGACTGGCCTGTTCTGGAAGAAGATGCCTAAAAGAACGTTTATCACACGTGAAGAGAAAACCTTTCCAGGTTTTAAGGCCGCCAAAGATCAATTGACAGTGATAGTTAGCGCGAATGCAGCTGGTGATTGTAAGTTAAAATTTCTCTTAGTTTATCGCTCGGAAAATCCAAGAGCATTGAAAAAAATCTAAAGCTGGCTTGACTGTGATTTGGAAGTCGAAAGCTTGGGTGGCAGCTTCCCTTTTTGAGGACTGGTTTGGTCATCACTTCATACCTGCAGTCGAACATTATTGCCAATCTAAACAAATTCCATTTAAAGTGATGCTCGTAATCAACAACGCACCAGGTCACCCCTGCAACTTTAACTAATTTTGACCCACGTGTGAAAGTTGTATTTTTGCCACGAAATACAACCAGCTTGTTTCAACCGATAGATCAGGGAGTCATCAAACGATCGTTTGCACATCTGCATGAAGCTATGAGGCAAAACAACGAGCTCTCTGTTAAAGACTTTTGAAAACATTTTTTTCTAAATTATTGTTTTCTTTAGTCTCCAGTCCCAAATAAAAATAATTTGTATGTATTTGTATGCAAAATTATACCCTGACTTAAGCGAATTCGACTTACATGGTTATCACTCGGTCCCACCTATCACGTAAGTTCGGGGTATTACTGTATGTATATATATATAAAGATATAAATATATATCTTTATATATTTGCAGTTTCTGATCTTCATACATAAATATATTTTAAATTATTGCTAATCAGAAAACAAAAAATAAATCAAATCTTATTTATTACACATGCAAGTAAAGATTTATAAAAGTTTAATAATTCAAGTATTTTTCAACCAAATATGTTATTACAACTAACCAAATCAAACCATTAATTTGTATCACAAATATTGCAATAAATGCAGTATTTGTAGATTATCATCAGCAGTTTTGGTTTAGATAAATCAAGGTTGTAGATAATAATGAGCAATTATTTATTGTGACATTGTCATAATGCAGGCTGCAATTTTTAATTATATATTTTAAATTTATTTAATTTAATATATATGCTCTCCACCTCAAATTAGTATTAGCTTGCCCCTTGTACTGTACATCATACTTTTTTCCTTTAACAATAGAGTTGTGTTGGTCATCTATCTAACACTTTTCAGGTGAAAATTTTTTAATATGATTTCCATTTTGTATCAAAAGTTTGTATATAGTTAATCAAAATCTTCTCCTTCTAAACTTTCCATATATATATTTTCTTATATATATATTCTATATACAGGGTGGGGCATAAGTAATGCCCTTTTTAATATCTTATAAATTTTTGCAGTAAAAATTGTAATGTTTTAATTTTATATGACATTATTTTAGATATATCTTATACTGTATCTTTTCTTTAAATGTTTGGGAATGGTTAAATCTAAATTTTGAGGAGAGATGGATAGGACGACGAGGACCTATTGAGTGGCCATTGCAATCACCAGACCTAACACCACTGGACTTTTTTTTTTGTGTGGGTATATTGAAAGATTAGGTTTACAGCCTGAAATCAAAAACTACAATTCCTGAATTAAAACAAGTAATTGTCATGGAAATGTGTCAAAAAGTTTGTAGAAGTGTTGCTAGTAGAGTTCAGCATTGTATTGAATATGAAGGGGAACATTTTGAGCATGTCCATTAATATTAAATCATTGTAATTTGTTGTATTTTTTGTTCTTGTATTTATGTAATTTTTGTTCAATAAAATTTAAAATTTCAAACGGGTGTTAATTATGCCTCACTCTGTATATATGAATTTCATTTATCCTAACACCATTCTTGAGATTAAGAAAAGACAGATGGACTGACAGATGACAGTGGAAATTTATAGATCTACAATTTTTTCAAATTGCAGCTCAATTATGATTTTAAGTTAGGAGTGAAAAAATTGGTTGTCAGTCAAATATGATTTCTGCACATTATTTCTTTGATTTTGTCTTAATGTTTGTTTTTAAAAAAGAAAAATTTAAACAGTATTAATAAATGTTTTTATAATGTTTGTCTTAAAACTGATTAGATAACATGACATTTTATTTAGCAAATAATGGAAATACAGATATGAGATTACATCAGATAAAATTATAAATATTTAGTTTACTATATTTAGTGTAACTTCACTTTATCAAAATTAATCATAAAAGATAAGTAAGTTATACTTACTACATTTAACAGAAAATTTGACTATTATATACAGATTTTGTTTTAATAATTCTGCATATGTTGTTTTGTTAAATGTGTCTATAACAGAAGTCTTAAAATAATATTCACTGTGGACTACACAATGACATTTTTAAAACTGTACAGAACTGCTATAAAGAACTTATCATACAGGAACACGGCTGATTGGTTATGTAGACTTTATTATATAAAAGGAAATGCATTTTGGGCTATTTGTCCCCTCTTCAGTCCTTATTATAAAATAAAACAAACACTAAAACTGGAACTCTATGAAATAAAGTACACAAGAAACTTTTCTCTTTTCAGAAAATATATAAATAGAGAAAAACTTTGGTCTGATTTAGAGGACTACATCAGATTCATTAACATTCTTAATAAAAATTTTTTTTTGGAATGTTGAATTACAAATTCAAATTAATTTTTCAAATATACAAAATTTTTTTTTAAAAAACATTACATTTGTGTATTAATTAATACTTCTCTTAAATGAACAATAAAATAACTAGTTTTTATGAAATTAATATAAAGTCACTTATTTTTTTGTATATAAAAATTAAAAAACCTAAATTCTTCACTTCTCCAAAATTTATTCTAGGATTTAAGTGCTTTACAGTCCAATTGTAAGCTGAAGTACACTCTATAAAAACAAGCCTCAGGAAGAGTTGTGTTGGTTAAATCCTTGAAACTGAAGGAAAGACTATTATTAAGGGAATTATATAATATTGAATTATCATCAAAATAGGTAAAGCAATATGACTCCTTTGAAGAAAGCTTCTGTTTCATTCACCACATACAAATGTGCTTAATTACATAAAAATTTTGTAAAAATCAATGTTTATTATAAAAATATTTATACGGTTGTATGTTTTCTTTAAAGAAACAAAGTAAAATAAAATGATTAAAAATATAACTATTTGTAATGTATTAAAAATCAAATGTTTTTTTCCTTCTTAGATTTATGGTTACAGTTAAAATTACAGAGAATCAAAGTCTAACCCCTCTCATTTTGATTGTCCCACATTGTTTTAGAAATATGGCCATCCTGAATTTACCAGAATTTCAAACTATATAAGGAATAGTGTTATCTGAGTTCACTGATGTCGGAATGTACATATTACATATGAATTATGTACAATTACATATTACTAAGACAGACTCTCAATAATCTAATAATGATGCCATTTGGCATTAACTTGCAATGAAAGTATATTATTATTTGATTATTAAATTATATATATGATAAAAATTTTTGCCATT